AAAGAGGTTGTGGACTTTCGTTGTCCCTGTTTAAAGCAATAGCAAAGTATTCGCTTCTTTCATGACGATCAGTGTGCAACGTATCATCGTAAACATTCTTTTAATTCATGAAGTCATTTTGAGTCCACAACTGACAGCGATTCTCCTAGTGGAATATTTCGAATCTCCGTAAGAGAAAAGAATGGAAAGATTTTATTTACCAAACTAGAGTCACTAATTAGCCGATATAACGCGCGCTCTGATTGGCTAATTGTAGGGCATTATTCTCCCGTAATGCCCACGGGCCGACACTGGCCGATTACGGGCATGCAAGAACAAAGAAAAAAGCCATATAAATTAATAACTTATTAGCCTCGAACGTTCGGTCTTAACGGGAAAATCTCAAACCTCCACCTCGCTATCGGTCGGTCAATACGGCAACGTCTCGGTCAGAGATTTTCCCGTTAACAACTCGCTCTCGGTTAATAAGTAGTTATTATTACCTCGTTAGGCCTGACATATTTTTTATCGGATCTTCTTCTTTCTAAATTATTTGAATGTGTATTACAGTGATGACGAAATTGATTCCACTGAGCTTTATTTTGCCCCTTATCCTAATAGCTATACAGCCCCAAATTACGTCTGGCCAACACGTGAATAACAAGCTGAAATACAAGAGAACCCACTTTACTGCTTTGCAGCTGGATAAGCTAGAAGAGACATTCAGACAATCACAGTACGTATCAACACGGATGCGTCAATCATTGTCTCAACAACTTGGCCTGTCTGATGGCAGCATTAAGGTAAAACATAAAAAAAATATTAATAATTCATGAAACTTTAGATAGTGATATAATTTATGAGAGATCCTTTAGTAAGTGACCAGTGTATTAATGGTTAGCAATGTAAAGTTGTTACGTTATGGATAACAGTGTGACTGCTAGAAGTTACCATGAACAAAAATATAAACAATTGTGTTAGAACAAGTTTGAAACTAATTGAAGTTGTGGGCCTCTAATGAAACTTCACAATTTTGTATTGGTCATCTTAGCTCGATTTTTGAGCATATGAAATTGTCACAAGAACTACTTTTCTATTGAACCTTTATTGAAATTAACGGACTAAAAATAGCTCGGCACCACGGATAGCACTGGTAGCAGTATAGTTAGAAACATTCAGATTTAAGCAAAACGTTACTCTTTATTTGCCTCTTTTTGCAACAACCGATTGTAATGCAACAATCTTTGCAATTTTTTTCAGAACTGGTTCAAAAATCGGCGAGTAAGATGGCGCAAAAAGCAGTACCGATTTATCCGATACGTTCACCCTGTTCCAGTCCCCTTCATCCAGT